AAGCCACTACGGTTGGCCACGTGGAATGTTCGAACGCTCACTGCAGAGGAGAGGCTGCCACTCCTCTGTCGGGAGCTGGACCGGTACCGCCTGGATCTATGCGGCATTCAGGAGGTCCGGTGGACCGGCTCTGGCTCCTGCCACCATGAGGGGTGGACAGTCCTCTACTCGGGGCAGCAGACTGCCAAACAACAGGGTGTGGGTCTTCTTTTGAACAAAAGAATGAAGGGGGCGTGGGAGCGTGGCGGTGAGGTGTGGGAAGCTGTAAGCCCCAGGCTACTTTGGGCTCGCCTTCCCATCAACCGGAGGCGAGGAATGGTGGTCGTGGTTACTTATGCCCCCACCGAAGATGAACATCCGTGGAGGGATGCAGGCAAAGCCGATGAGTCAGATGCCTTCTATGACCTCCTGTCACAGGTGCTGGCTAAAGTGGCCCCTCGGGATAGAGTCATCATGTTGGGTGACTTCAATGCCCGAGTTGGTCATGATACTGGCACCTGGTCTGGAGTGATTGGAGGGCATGGGCCAGATCAGCTCAATAACAACGGTAGGAGGCTGCTAGATTTTTGTGCAGCCCATGGGCTTGTAATTACCAACACGCTGTTCCGGCATCGGCGCATCCACACAACATCATGGATGCATGCCGGGTCCAAGCAAGAACATCTGCTGGATTACATAGTGACGGACCAGCGAATGCGAGCCCATGTCCTTGACACCAGGACCTACCGTGGAGCTGATCTGCCCTCTGACCATCGACTAGTCATCTGTAAGATGCGCCTGCCATTCTTCCACTCCGGTGGTGGGTGTACACCCAGGACCCCATTCCAACCTAAAGTGGCCTGGTCTCAGTTATCTGATGAAAGTTGCAAGCGAGAATTTCATCATCGCTTTCGGCTGGGATTGGCATTGTCCCCGACTCCTCCTGATGTCGAGGGTAAATGGGCGAGGTTTAGGACTGTGACTCATGCAGCTGCAATGGCTGCTTTGGGTACGCGGTCCAGACCTCCCCAGACACCCTGGATGACAGAGGAGTTGTTCACGATGGTTGAGAAAAAGCGACAGGCCCACTGTCATCGGCTACAGAATCCCACGTCAGAGAATGAGGAGGCTTACCGCAGCCTTCGCTCGGAGGTTCGGAGAGCCGTGAGGCGCTGCAAGGATGGGTGGTGGTCGCGGGTTGCTGAGGAGATGGAGTCTGCCTCAGTGGCCCGTGATCACAAATCTCTATTTAACTCCATCAAAAAAGTAACCTGCAGCGCCACACCTATTACCATCATTAGGGGATAAAACGATGATCCAATTTCCGACCCCCAGGAACAGGTTCGCAGATTTGCTGAGCATTTCTGTGAGATCCTGGGGGAGGGAAAATCCCACAGCCAGGATAAAATCGTGGCACAAAGTGAGGATGACCCTGCTGAGGCTGCGGTGCCTCAAATATTGGATGAAGTCACCCCCTGTGAGTGGCTGGCTGAGGTGCCATCTGCTGAGGAAGTATTGAAGGCGATCCGGAGTCTGAGACCAGGAAAGGCAGCGGGCAGAGATGATCTCCCAAGCGAAATGCTGAGGGAGGGTGGCGTTTGTGCACAGACTGCCCTATATGACATCATAACAACAGTCTGGACCACTGGACGGGTTCCGCAGGATTGGAAGGATGCCCTGGTGGTCCCCCTTTTTAAGAAGGGGGACCGCACAGACTGTAACAACTACAGGGGCATCTCACTCCTCAGTGTGCCGGGAAAGGTCCTGGCAAGGATTATTCAGCATCGCCTTGCCAGGCACGCTGAGGAGAGGCTTGCGGAGCCCCAATGCGGTTTCAGGAAAGGGCGGTCCTGCACAGATGCCATATTTTCTGTCCGTCTGCTACAGCAGAGGTGTAGGGAATTCCAACAACACCTACATCTCTGCTTTATTGACCTGGTCAAGGCCTATGATACCATCAGTAGGCCTGGGCTCTGGGTCGTTCTTCGTGCTTTTGGAGTACCTGACCCTCTGCTCACGATCATTAAGGACCTTCATGATGGTGAGCGGGCCCGGGTAAAACTACGTGGCCGGGAGTCAGAGCCATTCCCTGTACACCTTGGGGTGCGACAGGGATGTCCTCTGGCTCCCACATTATTTAACATCTATTTTGACCACGTAGTTCGTGAAGCCTTCAATAGCTGTACCGGGGGAATCTCCATATGGTACAGATATAATGGGAGGCTAATCGATGCCCGGGTGCGGTCAAGGGATGGCTCCCTATTGCTCAACCACGTTATGTATGCTGATGACTTGGTAATAGCTGCTCAGTCAGAGGAGGAGTTGGAGACGCTGCTGCTGAGACTGGAGCGTGCCACTAAGAGGTGGGGCCTTACCATCAGCCCCACCAAAACTAAGCACCTGCCTGGGTATTTTGTACCATCGGACACTCCACCCCCACAACTCCCAATCGGTGATGGGGCAGTTGTGGAGAGAGTGGAGAGTTTCCCATACCTCGGCAGTGTGCTTATGACTGGCCCCAGTTTAACAGCAGAGGTCTCACTCCGAATCAGTCGAGCGGCAATATCTTTTCATCGGTTGCGTAACGCTGTGTGGAAGCTACCTGGTCTGTCGCTCCGCACTAAGCTTCAGGTCTTCTCGGCCACGGTCATTCCCTCCCTTCTCTACGCTTGCGAAACGTGGACCCCCCTAATGGAACATCTTCGCCGGTTAGAAACATTTAGGCTGGCCTGCCTACGATCCATCCTGGGTTTAACCAGACTGGATTGTGTGAGGAGCTCACAAATCCTTGAAAGATCTGGGCACGGTCCCATCGGTGAGCTCCTCCGGCAGGCAAGGCTGCGATGGCTGGGTCATGTAGCCCGCATGCCCAGCCACCGCATGCCGAAACAGCTTTTGTTTGGCCGGATTGAGGGGGCTAAGCGGGCGCGGCACGGGCTAGAGAAGAGATGGAGTGATGTGGTACAGGAGGACGTGGAGCTGAGTGGACTTGCCGATGACCGGTACCAGCGGTGTCAAGATCGGCCTCTGTGGAGGAGGCTCGTGAAGGATGCTACTGGGCAGTTGGAGGCAGTCGCCCTCCAACAACAACGGAGGGCAGAGGAGCGACGCTCACAACAACGAGCGGAGCGCCGGGTGGCTAAAGCACAGCAGGTTGGCACAGTAGGGGGCACAGGTGGTGCATCAGCCAGTCATCTCAGTCAGTCGACCCGTGGCACCTGGGTCTGCCCAGTGACCTCCTGCCAGCGGGCGTTCGACACTTCACGTGGCCTCAAGGTGCACATAGCCTGGCACAAGCGTCGTGGTGACGTCACTGCCACTTAGTGGCGAATGGCGGTTGTTGTTGTTGTTGTTGTATGTGTGAGTGTGTGTATGTGAGTGTGTGTATGTATGTGAATGTGTGTATGTGAGTGTGTGTGTGTGTATGTATATGAATGTGTGAATGTGTGTATGTGAGTGTGTGTGTATGTATGTGAATGTGTGTATGTGAGTGTGTGTGTATGTGTGTGTATGTGTGAATGTGTGTATGTGAGTGTATGTGTATGTGTGTATGTGAATGTGTGTATGTGAGTGTATGTGTATGTGTGTATATGAATGTGTGTATGTGAGTGTGTGTGTGTATGTGAGTGTATGTGAATGTGTGAGTGTGTGTATGAATGTGTGTGTGTGAGTGTGTGTGTATGTGAGTGTGTGTGTATATGAATGTGTGTATGTGAGTGTATGTGAATGTGTGAGTGTGTGTATGAATGTGTGTGTGTGAGTGTATGTGTATGTGAGTGTATGTGTATGTGAATGTGTGTATGTGAGTGTATGTGAATGTGTGTATGAGTGTGTGTGTGTATATGAATGTGTGAATGTGAGTGTATGTGTATGTGTGTAGGAGTGTGTGTGTGTATATGAATGTGTGAATGTGAGTGTGTGTGTATGTGTGTGCGTGTGTGTGTGTATATGAATGTGTGAATGTGAGTGTATGTGTATGTGTGTATGAGTGTGTATATGAATGTGTGTGTGTGAGTGTATGTGTATGTGTGTGCGTGTGTATATGAATGTGTGTGTGTGAGTGTATGTGTATGTGAATGTATGAATGTGTATGTGTGTATGTGTATATGTGAATGTATGAATGTGTGTATGTGTGTATGTGAGTGTATGTATATGTGTGTGTATGAATGTGTGTATGTGAATGTATGTGAATGTGTGTGTGTGAGTGTGTGTGTATGTGTGTATGTGTATATGTGAATGTATGAATGTGTGTATGTGAGTGTGTGTGTATGTGTGTATGTGAGTGTATGAATGTGTGTGTGTGTATGTGAATGTGTGTATGTGAGTGTGTGTGTATGTGTGTATGTGAGTGTATGAATGTGTGTGTGTGTATGTGAATGTGTGTATGTGAGTGTGTGTATGTGTGTGTATGTGTGTATATGAATGTGTGTGTGTGAGTGTGTGTGTATGTGTATATGAATGTGTGTGTGTGAGTGTATGTGAGTGTGTGTATATGAATGTGTGTGTGTGAGTGTGTGTGTATGTGTATATGAATGTGTGTGTGTGAGTGTGTGTGTATGTGTATATGAATGTGTGTGTGTGAGTGTGTGTGTATGTGTGTATGTGAGTGTATGTGTATATTAATGTGTGAATGTGAGTGTGTGTGTATGTGTGTGTATGTATATGAATGTGTGTATGTGAGTGTATGTGTGTGTATGTGAATGTGTGAATGTGTGAATGTGAGTGTGTGTATGTGAGTGTGTGTATGTGTATATGAATGTGTGTGTGTGAGTGTGTGTGTATGTGTGTGTGTGTATGAATGTGTGAATGTGTGTGTGTGTATGTGTGTGTATGTGAGTGTATATGAATGTGTGTATGTGAGTGTATGTGTGTATGTGTATATGAATGTGTGAATGTGAGTGTGTGTATGTGTGTGTATGTGAGTGTGTGTATGAATGTGTGTATGTGAGTGTATGTATGTGTGTGTATGTGTGTGAATGTGTGTATGTGAGTGTGTGTATGTGTGTGCGTGTGCCCCGCGC